TCTATACCCTTTGATTGCCGGAAGCTGGGAGGGGATAATGGGATGGATCACTCGATGATTGCCTGTTCTGTTCATTCCCTCAGGATACTGGGCTAATGGACCATTGGTCTGACCCCGTATGGCCGTTCTTCTCCTTTATTAGCTCGGGGTGCGTTGATTCCAGGTGCTGAAGCTGTTTGCAATGTTTGGTTTGCTGTGCACATAACTGGGCCATGTTGGCTCAGGCAGGGGAACTCTGTGTGTGTGCCACTTGGGGAGGAGGGGTGTAAAAAGAGCAAAATAAAATGAACCCAGTATTGGAAGGAAAAGTGGAACTAATGCTGTCTGATAATGAGAACATAACCTCCGCTTCTCCAGATGCTTCCCTCACATCCATACCACTCTAGACCCCTCAGCAGCAGCTTCTTCTCTGGCTGTAATGATCTTTTAATTCCCATCTCCATTGTGAGGGAGAAGAGTGATCTGAGTATTAGGACTGGGTACATCTGAGGTTTCATCTAACACTGGCTGCGTGGCCTTGGGCAAGTCACCTAACCCCTGTGCCTCAAGTCTCTCCAGCTGCAGAGCAGAGGTAATCCTGCCTTACGGGAAAGTTGGAAGGTTTAGTTGTGGTCTGCACAGTGCTGTTAGGAAGAGTGCTACTAAAGTGCTTAATGCTATTAGAGCCTCTGCAGTACTGCTGATACCCTCTCTGTTTTCAGCTGGGCCAATGACATTTTCAAATCCACATTTATTGTCTGTGGTCTGTTTATCTCACTGGAAGTGAGGGAGATACAAAGCTTAGTTCTTTGAAGTTCCTCCTGGGATGTCAAAGTTGGCTCGCTGAACAACTGTTCCCTTTTCCTCTTACAGCTGCCCTTCTCCCTCCACTCAGTCAGACTGAAGGGAGGCGCAGAGCAAATAGATCTATTACAATTATTTTGCAGAGAATGGACTGGACAGTAGCAGGTGCATTTGCTGTACTGGGAGAGCCCTTCTTGGAAGGATTCCTCTATTTCCTCCTACATGTTTTTGTGACAGTGCCTTAAAAGCAACAGGAGGTGGCATGGAGTCTGCAGGTGTGCACAAGCTGCCAAATAAAGATGTCCACAGAATTAGTGTGAACTTAATGACGTGCTGTCAGCGTTAAACACTGGCTCTAATGGTGGAGAAAACCGATGCAGGCTCCAGTGAAACGGATCAACAGCTGGGTCAATTTCAAAGCCTCGGATCAGTGCCCACATCCCCCCTTTGATGAGTTAAAGTGTTGCTAGGTAACGTGAAACCATAGCCAAAGAGCCCCTGAAATAGGGCCTTTAATCATTTTAAATGAAATAAAATGGGAGGAGGGGTTGTTTTGTTTGCCCACAGTCTAACTCGTTCTCCAGAGGGGAGATTGGAAGAAGGCAAACTTCCAATATTTGCCTTAGATCTAAAGGAAAAGCAACTCCTGATTTGTAATCTTTACTCAAAAATTCCCCTCTCTCTTTCTCTCTATAGCAAAATATTTTATGTGACTGAAAATCCTTATCACAGGAAGGCTCCCGGGTGGCGTCAGTTCAATTTCCAGGGATGACGTGTCTGTACCCCTAAAACTATCGTAACTGATTCTCTTGCTTGCAGTCTCAGTGGCGGGGTTAAGGAGGTCGTATGCTTCTCTTGCCTTTTGAGGGGGTCCATCCAGAGCAAGGTTAAGGTGGTGTAAGGTGATGCTGCTCATGCTATATAGGGGCAGAGTAGGGAAAACTGGCCCTCATCCAGCCCGTTTTGTCTCCAGGCCTGTCCATCCAATACCTGTCACCAGCATGATGTTCATCTTGAATGTACAGAGTTTGTTTTTAATGAGGGAAGATTAACTCTGTAGTTCCCTCCTTTTGTTAATGGACTTAGAAACCAAGCTGTCCATCGACCTCAGAGCACACACCATCTCCTCTGTCACTAGCACAAATGGGAGAAGATGCAGCAGAGTGGAATCTCTTTTTCTCGGCTTTCGTATCATGCTCGTCACCACGGTGTCTGAGCACTGGGAGCGAATGGGGCAAGCTTTCTGTTGGCTCTCCAAAAAAACAAATGAGTGTGTCTTGCATTTGGCTGGAGAAATCCATATGCAAACACCTACGCACTTCCAGGGCTCCGGTGACCGTTCCTTTTTGCTGCCTGCTAGCGTGGTTATTCAGACAGTTCCAACGTTGGCAACTAGCCCGCGTCTGGCCCAGCAATTTACAAGAAATCGGACTGTCTGCGGCACAGTTTTATGTTCGAGACAATGTTTTCAATTAGGGCGCAAACACACAGATTGTGTACTTTGTAGGCGGGCACCTCTTCCTGGGGCCTCCAGATTTATTTATGAAGTTGATTAAAATATTAAGATACTTTGGTTAGGAAGCTGCAAATGTGCTACAACTTCCATTTTATTATTTTTGGGGCCATTCCAGTCAGCATGAGATTTTTTCCCCGCTTTCGTCAATTTCACCTGCTACCAAATTACAGTAAAAGGGCCCCTTTCGTATAGTTCAATGACGTGCTGCATGTGTGTTCCCGGTGCAGTTAGGAAGTGAGTTGGCTAGCCGGAAGGCAATGATAGGCCAGAGATGTTTCTGAGTTGAGAAGGTATCCAGTCGAACTGTCTGGGTTGGAGCCTTCTAGTCACGTCATCCTCATTGTTTAAAAACCATGCTAATTTGCATTTTAGAGCGTCTTTCCTTGAAGCAACCCCTTAGGCAGGTTTCAGGTCCATTTTTCAGATAAATAATGCGCCAGACATAGTGCTCCAGAATACAAGCAGCATATGTGGCTTGTCTTCCAGTGAGGGGGAAATAATCACCAAAGGGCTAGGAGCAACCTAGTTTCTCAGCTTGGCCTGGTTGGAATGAAGACACTCCTGGCGAGAGGATGCTCTCCGCCTCCTGGCGGAGGAGACAATAATAGCTTCACTTGAGCACCTAGGCTGCTGAACAGGAGTTGAAGCCTTGTGGGTGATGACTTACCAATCCACCTGGAAGGTGAACGCCATGGCCAGGGCTACTAAGAGTGGGGTGGAGGCGATAAGGGGGCTGTATAGGAAAGGAATCAGAACAGTGCAAGGGAGTGTCTTAGCACCATGTAGTTAGATGTTCACTCTCTCCCCACTGCTTTTGGGCAGTGAATCCCAGTGATATGTACTACAGCTGGAGGCGAGGGAGAGCCCACACACACAAGCCTTGGTAACGGCACTGCATGGAATAGAAAATAGAGCGCCCTGCTTGTGAGGCCACATTCAGGTGAAATTAACTCAATGGGATGTTGCCCTCCAGAAGGCAGCGGCTCTATGGAACTAGGGTTCCCCTGCAGCCCCATATGAAAGAGCCGAAGGTTCAGATCTCCTAGCCATCCACCCAGTGAGGGCCAACGTTGTCCCCTTAATGCACCTGTTTGGTGGGGGAGGCAGTGCACCGCAGGAGCTAAAGCAGTGGGCTAGATGTCAGGAGACCTGGACTCTGCCACTGACCTGCTCTGTGATCTTGAGCAAGTCCACAGATACCTTTGTACCTCACCTCCCTCATCTGTAAAATGGGGATAATGTTACTCACCCACCTTTCTAAAGTGTGTTGAGAGTTATGGATTAAAAGCACTACATGACAGCCCTCTTGCTATTATTTACTTTAGTCATCAAATCCAGAGTCTACTCTAAATTATGCCCTTGTAAAACTGGAGTAACTCCACTGTCTCTCTGGAGTGGAGTCTCTCTGGATTTGAATCAGCATAACTGGGAGCAGAATCTGGCCCTCTGAGTATTTCACACTAACCCATTTTCCAAGGGATTCCAGAAAGCTGCACAGTCTGAATGATTAATAGCATCACAAATATGTAAACAACATATCTCTGCATTTTCCTCCCCATTCGACAGGGCATTGCTATGGCAAACGTCCATTTATCAATATTTAAAAATAAAACAAACAAGAACTGCGTGTTATAAATAACTCACAAGAACAACTACGGCTGGGATGCAGGAGAAAAATAAAGGCCATAGCCAAAGGTTCACACAGCCCCACAATGTGTGTTAGTCTCCTGTCAACCATAGCATGTCACGGGCCACACAGTACGTAGAGAGGATAGAATGAAAGTGCTTTTGCAATCTCTGCTATTGTGAATCCTATAATATTTAATATATGGAGATATCTTATCTCCTAGAACTGGAAGGGACCCCAAAGGGTCATCAAGGCCAGCCCCCTGCCTTCACTAGCAGGACCAAGTACTGATTTTGCCCCAGATCCCTAAGTGGCCCCCTCAAGGATTGAACTCACAATCGTGGGTTTAGCAGGCCAATGCTCAAACCACTGAGCTATCCCTCCCCCCATGTGTTCATACAAATGCTGTGGTCCATTTGAGTGGGAAAAGATCAAGTCAAGGGACTAACCCAGGTTCTCCGGAGGAGGGAAATGAACCGGTACACGGAAGGCTACAGCAATAAGGGAGTTTTTTATAAACATAACCTAATTGCATTACTCCAAAGGCCTGAAGTTTATTGCCCTGCTTAATGATGTGTCTCGTTATTTATAGTGCAGCACAATGAGTCTGCTATTGATTTAATACACTTCCTTAAAGACTGTCATTGGCACAAGCAATAAAACGAAGCCATTCCGAGACAGCTCAATTATGTCACATTTATATAAAATAACCCAAATCACCCAGGGCGTTCCAGGGGCTACCACAACAGGGTAGGGAAGCAGATGACCAGGATCGTGGCAAGTTCTTCTCGAAACGGCCCGCAGGCGACAGCCCGATGGGCAGCTGCCCAGGGAAGATGGGGGAGGGTGTGCGTCTGAGGAAAGGCAATGGCGGGAACAGGTAGATCGTCGATCCAGGGCCTGGAATTTTGGATTGACTCTGGGACACAGGCCATTGGGTCAACCCAGGCCTTCGGTCTGCTTCTAATTACAGGCATGGCCCGAAGCGCCTGCAGGGTGGTGGTGAGAGGGCTGGGATGGTTTTGCAGCAGTGGGCGTGCCTGACGCAGCAGCTCCTCCCTGGGTTCCCCTTACCTTTCTGGTACTGGAGCCAAAGCTGCTGTTGGACCTTCTTGCTGGGGAAGTGGATGGTGCAGCTGAACTCTGATCCATACAGCGCCTCTTCGATGTAGTGAGAGCCGTACTGCTGAACGAACGACAACAGCTCCTCCCGGCTGCTGTCCTTGCTTAGGATCTTCAGCACATTTGCAAATCCTGAAAGAGTGAGCATCTCATTGGTAAATGCCCCAGGCAGGGCAGCCAGCAATTGGTTTGGGAGGTGTGGGCAGTGGGGAGTCACAGAGTCCCTGCTCCAAACTCTCTGATCCCTGAACACTCATGTGCCAGCTGCATTTCCTCCTCCTCTACCCGTCTCTGTGGCTTACATTATCATTTGCTAAACACATGCTGTTTACCTGGGTCTGCAGCTTTCAGACCTTTCTGTGGCTTCCCCTCCCTCAGGGATTTCACAAAGAAGTCACTGGTGACAGTGCTGCAGTGCACACACATGCATGCGTTACATGACTGAAGCGCCATTCCTTTTTGCAGGATGCCCGGGGGGGTATGACTCAGCTTCGTTTTGCAATTATCACAGCCGGAGAGGTTGCCCTAGCGTAGGGATTAATTTATTCCAGATCATACCGTGGAGCATCCCCAGAGGTCATAGTCTGGGCATGTTTGTTTATTTAAAAAAAAAAAGCTGAAAGTGCCCTGGATAGTTGGGATGGCAAGAAAGTAACTGGACACGGACAGATCGACTGCGGGTCATGTGAATTTTCCGGCAATCTGCCAGCAGCCCCAGATGAAAGCGAGTAACCCTAAGGCACGTGCCCCAGCTCTCGGGATTGTCACAGGACAGTTCCATTGGAACAAGGCAAGGAGTGCCCTGACGTGTCTCCTGATGGTCACTGTCCTGCTTTGAGCACACCGGCCCAGCTTCACAAAGGAATTTAGGTGCCTAACTCCCATTGACGCCTTCTCCTTTGTGAATCTTGGCCAGTGTCTCACAAAGAGTGCACAGAGGTACAAGGGGTTAACCTTAACTCAGTTGTCCCACTCCTTTGCACAGGTGCTCAGGGATGCTCATTGGCTGCTTGGCAGACAGAGGTGAGGGGGAGGCATTGGGGTCACAGGACAGGGCTGGACTTGAGGCTGGGGAAGTGTTCTGGCTGCAAACTTTCTCCTGGGAAGCAAAGCCCTTGCAGACGTCATCTGTATTTTGTTTCTTCATAGCTGGTGCATCGGGTTTGCAGGGACGTTGCCCCATGATGGGATCTCGGTGAACCATGACAAGGCCAAGGCATTTTGATGCAGACAAGACATTTGGATGCAATGAGTTTGTCCTCTGGGGCAAATTTTTACACCAGATGATCGAATACAAACCAGATAGCAATGGGGCCAGTCTCTCCAGGTTCTCACAAAGCAACCGGCCCTGGAGTATCTGAGCAGCTACAGAAAGGCTGTTGAAAAAGGCTCTTGAGATAGGGATCTCGAGGATTTGCGTAACAGTGATGTGTAGCCAGATTGCTCAAGAACAGTCGTGCAATTGGAAGCCTAGCAAATCTAGGTCATTAACCTCCTTGGTTGATCCCAAAGTCCCACCATTCCGAGAGGTGTACAGGAGGCGGGGTTTAGTTTAGAGAGGCGGAGCCTTGTGGCATGAGTAGGGGGTGTGGAGCCAGGAACTTCTGAAAAGGAAAGATGACCCTGGGAGCTAGGAGACCTGCCCTCTACCGTTTCTCCGCCACTGCTGTGTCTTCTTGGTCAAATCATTTAGCACAAGACAATTAAACATGGTTGCTTAAAGCTAGCCACCAAAAGCCAACAGGGGCTGCAGGTGCTCACCACCTCTGAAAATTCAGGTCAATTAGTTAGGTGCCTAAGTAGGGATTTAGGTGCTTAACTTTAGGCACCCAAAATGGACAATTTTGACCTCAGCCTCTCCCTGTGTTGATTTCCCCCCCCATGTTTAATGGGAACAATGTTTTTTATCCCCCACTATAAAGAGCTGTGCATTCCTCAGAGCAGAGCTCTGTGTACAGTAAGGGATGGATGTTATTATTTTATTACCCTCATCCTGGGTCTGTCTCCATCTGTGACCTTGATCAAATCATGTGAACTCTTGGCCTCAGTTTCCCTTGTCGGTCTTTTAATAGGCAGCAGGTTTAAAACAAGCAAAAAGAAGTATTTCTTCACACAATGCACAGTCACCCTATGGAACTCCTTGCCATAGGATGTTGTGAAGGTCAAGACTATAACAGGGTTCAAAAAAGAACTAGATAAATTCATGGAGGATAGATCCATCAATGGCTATTAGCCAGGATGGGCAGGGATGGTGTCCCTGTAGCCTCAGTTTTCCAGAAGCTGGGAATGGGCGACATGGGATGGATCACTTGATGATTACCTGTTCTGTTCATTCCCTCTGGGGCACCTGGCATTGGCCACTGTCCGAAGACAGGATACTGGGCTAGATGGACCTTTGGTCTGACCCAGTATGGCTGTTCTTATGTTATATTCTTATGCAGAAAGCAGATAAATCTCTCTGCCGACCTTCCTGGGGGAGAGGATTGTGAGCATTAGTGTCTGTACAGAGCCTGGAGATGCAAAGGGCTGGCTAAGTGCTCAGTATTAAGGCGTGGGTAGTGATGGGAGAGCCAGTGCCAGCAAGCCAGACCTGCTGCCCACACTCGCTCTCTCCTCTCGGCTAGAACTGGATTCATAACCAAGGCAGCTCTCACCTGCAGAGTGGGTGATGGTGCTGAGCTTCACTTTGTACAGGTTGCTTCTGACCCGCCAGTGCTGCACCATGGGGTAGCCCATGGCCTCGTCGTACCTGATGTCTCCTGTAAAGAGGAAGCCAGGGCTTAGAGAGCGGGGAGGAGACAGCGGAGGATGCACCCTGGGAAGTGTTAATTTCACGCCGACTGTATTTTTTGCTACAGGGTTTGTGGCTACAGGCACAATGATAACAGAGACCGTCCCCCCCCAGACAGGTCACACTGCCGGAGCGCTGGCGGTACGGCCAGGGCTGAGATGAGGCGGCTGAGCTGTCATGAGCTCACACGGCTGGAGAAGCTCGCGTTGACGCAGACAGGGCACTGCTGGGAGCAAGCTCACTGGGATGGGATGCAGGTTGGCATAACAACTGTGACTGTGGGCTGGCCAGTGTGTTATTTCCAACAGACGGGAGCCAGCTGGATAGGTGGACGGTCCTTGAGACTGAGGAGGAGAGCAGGACCACTGGGGAACGTGGGGAGATGCGGGGAGATTTAAACATGGGGGTCAGAGACAGGGAGACAGAGACATCGCTCTAGGGTGGTGTTCTCCGACAGGCGGCTGTGAAAGCCCAGCCCTGCCCTGCCCGGGGGCCGAGAGCATACCACCACCAGCAAGGCTGCCTGGGCAGAGGCCGCTTACCAGTGAGCAGCTGGAGGTCAGGCAGGGGCTCAGAGAGGACGCCGCGGCACTGCTCCTCCACGGGCAGCGGAATCACCATCAGCGCGTCGGCCAGCTGGGGGAAGTCCTTGATGAAGTTATTCTCCCTGAAGAGAGAAAAAAGAAAATTCCAAAGCAACGGTGCAGGCGACCTCCCGGCGGCGAGGCTGAGCGGATCACGGCAGGGCTCTGTGGGAGACAGGCACACGCCCAGGGATGGATGGGAGTGTGGGCACCTTGTGGCTGTTGCTCCCACTGAAGTCCCACGGGGCGGATCCACGGACAGAACTAGATCCCCGAGATCCAACCTACAGTGTGTGATGGGGTTTTCATCCCTCACCATGCCCTGTCCCCCTGGGCAGCCACTCTCCTCTGGAGCCCACGGCCGCCCCACCCCGACCAGGGACCGCAACACTCGGCCGACAGCCCAGACGTCAGCTGGCCACGGCACGTTCCTCAGAGGGCACTGCTGATGCCTGTTCTTGCCCCAGAGGCAGTGCTGCTAAGACATGTCGCCATGGGACAATTAACAGGGAGCTAAGGGGGCTTGTGGGTGAGTCCCGGTTAAATCGTGAAGGACCGTAGTGTACGCTAAGCCATGCTTTCTGGGTGGGAGTGCGCATGAGTTTAACGCAGCGACAGGGTCAAGCCAGCACCTGTCACCAGCACAAAGTTTGCATGAGGCTTTTTGTCACAATACCGTGTTTTTAGGCCCCTGTACCTGCCCCGTCCCCTCTGTGCCAAGCAGAACACAGCAGCTCTCGATGGTTTACTGAGGAGCAGATACAAGTGTCCACCTCTCCCATAAATGCGTCCCCACTTCCACCCTCCAAAGTCCCACACTGCAGGGGGCTGGCGCTCAGAAGCCTGCGTTGATGAAAGAGAGCTGGATGTGTTGCTGTAAAAAATCCCACTGACGCCACTCAGAGTATTGGCCAGAAGGGGTCACTAGGGAGTGCTACAATCCAGGTTCCCTCCCTCCCTCTTAGTGGATGTAGTGTGGCCTAGTGGATGGGGCAGTTGTATAGGACTCAAGAGAGTTGGGGGTCTAATCCCACCTCTGTCACCGGCCTGCTGGGTGATGATAGGCAAGTCATTTCCCTCTCCGTGCCTCAGTTTCCCCCTCTGTAAAATGAGGATCATGATGCTGACTTCCTTGGTAAAGCCCTTTGAGATCTACAGATGAAAATGCTACAGAACGGCTAGGCATTACTATTCTGCAGGCCCCGAGATCTCAGCGCTCTAGGTCACTGGCCCCAGGAGCACCACGGTTAGCGTTGCTCTTGCACCTCTTGGCTGTAAGAAGCAGGTTTGGTGCTTGCAGGCGGCAGAGGAGCGTTCAGAGAGCCTCTGCTTGGAGCGACAGTTGCTGTCAGCCATGTCCTGGAACGCCCGCAGATGGATCCCGGCGGATGGAGCCAGCTTTGAGATCTGACTCTCTCGCATGTACTGCCATTCAGTTTCAATCCCACGTTTCCCTCCAAGGAAGGCGAGTCACTAATTAGTTCCCCTGGGGGCTGCTTCATTGTTATCCCTCTTCACTTCCTGGCAGTGGAGATGCTAGAAGAACCTGCCTGTCAGGCTCGGGAAGCATTCGCTGCTTCCGAACTGGCTGTTTAGCTGTGCCGCAGCGGTGTCAGACGGGGACACAGGCAGTGGGGCAACTCCCCAGGGTTGGCCACCTTCCATCATCCACCTCTCCTGGATGGTCACAAAGAGCCAAATTCATCCCTGGTGCAACACCATTGCCTCTGATGCTGTTCCACGGGGACTCTCATGCGTGAGAGACCGAGCCCTTGTTGGAGCAATAGAGGGGATAAGGAAGTGGAACGGATGCAGCCCTCGGAGCCTCAGGGCAGATTCACTTAGCAGCACCTTCTACTTTTGTCCCTCACTCTTCTCTTTATTTTCCAAGGCACCCCGTCCAGCTGTACGTTCACCCACTCCCCAGAGCTGCCATCCCCTCCCCCTCTCGATGGCCTGTCCACAGCTCTCCATGCTCCCGCTGGGGCCAAAGGCTCAGTGGGCGGCCGTGGCAAAGGCACATCCGTTTTCCTGGCCAGCGGCACACAAGGGCGTGACGTGGCCAGCACCACGTCCGACCGCATCAGAGGTGATGTGCCAGGGGAAGAGCTGGTGAGACTCAAACTGACAACCTGGAGGGCTGGAATCAAGATCCTAACAACCCAGCCACCACAGCGCCCCCTGCTGGTGCTGATCCAACATACCACAAGGCCCCGGTCTATTAGCATCCCCAGGTCCCCCCACGTCACCAAAAAGCCCCGCTTGACCCCGGCCCGATCAGGGGTGTCCATCAAAACCAGCCAATTTGCTTTTAATTCTCTCTTGGATTTGGTCCAGTCTGCAACATGGGCCTTCTTTACCTGCTCCCCTCTCTGCTAACTTCCCACCAAGCTGCTCTCCCTCCCTCCCGCCATGCTATTTCACCCGAGGCAAAACCTCGTTCCTGGCCTCCCCCTCCAGCAGCTCCCCAGTCCGTTCCCAATCTCAGCTGCAGAACTGTGGGTCCCTCCCCAGTCTCCACGTCTGTGCCTCTTCTTCCCTTCTGCTGTCCTTCCTTATTGAACTCTGCAAAGTGCTTCGGGATATGACAGACGCTCCACCAAATAAACTCGCATTGATCTGTGTAGGGCAGGAAAGGAGAGCCAACCGCAAACCCATGGAGCGCTGGGAGGAGGCGGGCACAACCCTATTAGTGCGAGGCGAGGGAGGGAGCCCAGCCTGCTCTCTGCACCCAGGGCACATGCTCTACCTCCTTTATCCCCCACTCGCCTCCGAGGACTTCAAGTATCTCACAGCGGAGCTGAGCTGCCCGGGAGCGCCCGCTACACAAATCGATCCCTGAACCCCGAGGTCGATGCTTCCTGCAGACAGAGAGAACAAGTCTTCATGGCGAAGGGCAAAGAAGGGGGCAGCAAGGGGGCTGGGAAAGCTCTTGATCATCGTTGGGGATTTCTAAGGGATGGTGCCGATAGCGAGGCTGGCTACCGCTGACTGCCCTTGCTGGCTTGCTCGGCCCTCTGGAAAACTACGGCTGTGACGAGTGACGTTTATACTCCTGGCTGATGGATGTTACTGGAAAGCACATGCTGCCTTCTGGGCATAGACAGAGCATGCTGATGTTGTGACAAACACCACAGGGCTTTCTGGGAAACCCAGGGGCTTGGTTCTTTGGGAGCCATCACCGGGACCAGATTTTCAATGGAGCTCAGCTCCCAGCGTGCACGCCCTGGAAGACTGAAAACTTGTCTGGGGTGCCGAGATGGGAGCTGAGCTGTCCTGCCAACCTGGACCCCATGGTGCGTGCTGAGCTCCACCAAAAATGTGGCCTTGGACAACCCCTCATAGGATGATCCGTGGCCAGCTTCGCCCTGTGCAGCCCGGCGTTCCAATCTGCTGCCCCGCACTCAAGGCTGCTGTCGCTCGAGCCTGCAGCAGCTGCTGTTCCATCGTGCGTGGGGGCAGAGCCAGTGAAGTGCAGGGCAAGAGACAGGATAATAAAGGGTACTGCACCCCGGCGACAGGAACTGGGGTCTGGCTGTGGATTTAACAGCGGCTTGTGTTCTCTGCCGCCTTGCATCCTGTTCAACAAAGGAGCCAGCACCTTACTGCATCTCAGAGGTTTCGCTTCAAGCAACACCAACATTTTATTGGTTGGGGGTTGGTGGGGAGGGGAGATCTCTCTTTCCCTGTCACTCACACGCAGATCTAATATTGACCACACTACACTCCTGATCCCGGGTGGCTAAGGGGTGATTTGCTGTTCTAAGCCTTTCCCCATCTTAGCAGTGCAAACGAGTTAGCAATTACTGCATCAGCCTCAAGCCTGGGTGGGTGGGTAGAGACAGGGGAGGGAGAGAGGTTGGGGCATAGGGAGAGACATGATCAATTTATTCCGCTTTCTTTCCAGCGTGCATGGGCAGCCTCAGCATAGAGGGAAACCACGCCACACTGAAGCCAATTTCCAAGATAGCTGAAAACACACAGCACCATGAAATAACAGCGTTGGGCCAGACCCTATCCTAGAGCAGGTCCACTGACGCTCATTTGCAGCAGCTTAGTCTCCGGCTTGTTTGTACCCATGACTAGCCATCGCGCTACTGGGGCTGAGGCTTATGGGTGATGATGGGGCAGCTCAGCCCTCATGACCACCTCAGCAAGAGAACCAAACTCCCGGGCAAGAGAAACACTTGTCAAACGCTGAGCCGTGGAACAGCATCTAAATGGATTTGGTCACTGCTCATGGAAAGGCTGCCGAGCGGCCTGTTTCATTCGCCATTGACTCTGGTTTAAGGCCGGCTGCCTCTCCCACTCCCTTCGCTGACAGCGAGCTCAGCATGGGAGACGGAGGTCTCTGCCCTCTTGGCTAGCAGAGGAAAGTCTGTGGCATGAGCTGCTTAACGTGTGCAGAAAATCAGCTCTCTCCTGGCAGCCGCTCTATGTGCAAACAATGCACATACTGCAGAGCGTACCGATGTCTGGGTAATGTGCTAGCCGCGTCTAGGTGCATTAAATACCTATAGTGGCACAGGCTTTGCCATACCAGATCTGAGCCCTGGGCCACATAAATCTGGTGTCCTGCCTCCAGCACCAGAGCAAACACAAATAAAGGAAAATGACTCCCCCCCCCCCCCACAGCCTTCCCTACAAAATGCACCTAGTTAATTGTGCAAAGCTGTATAATGGAGGATGACAATCCCTTATTCATGAGTCAGACACATGTATGGAAACTGGGCAAACACTGATACCACTCTGCATGCATGTCGCACTTCCAATAGGGTGACCAGATCACCACACTAAAATATCGGGACACATTGGCCCCGCCCCAATCCACCCCCACTCTGCCCCAGGTCCTGCCTCCACCATGCCCTTCCTCATCCCCCGGCCTGCCGCTGGCTTGCTGCGTCCCTCCTCGGTCCCCCACCCACCGCTTGCCTCCCGGCCGGCCACTCACCCCTACAGCGCTGACTTCCCCTCTCCCGGGTGGGTGCTCGCCCACCCCCTGCCTCTTTCCACCCCTGCACCGCCCTCGCCCTGCCCCCAATCCACCCCCTTCCCCTAAGTCTCCGCCCCTGCTCTGCATTTT